CCTCTGGACATCCCCTCAGAGCCACGTGCAACAGGGAGCCTTAATTCCTGCAATATTCAGTCGATATTAGTGACCTGCCTGCACCTCAGAAATTCCTGTTTCCAAGGGTGTGTGTATCCCCTAGTATAACTATGCAGAAATGGACACTAGCTTCTAAGCCTGATGGAGTGACGCTGGTATGTACTGGTCATGAACTGCCGCCTGCACAAAGGTCCACAGCTCAACTCACTCGCAGTTTTCCCCAGAAACTGGCCAGAATCCTGCAGGAAAAAGGGAGGCCTCATCTTACTGTATGGGCCTGACGGAGGAGGTCACCTACGGTACGTCGAGGTACAGCCACCAGATTTCCCCAGGTCTAATATGTGAAGACACGTGGGGGAACCGCCTGCTGATCACGGCACTTGTTGCTCCGACGGTGTCCGGTTTTAGAAGAAAGGGCACTGCGGTCTCAAACCCGTGTCCCAACCCTAGTAGAAGGTGGTTTAGCGTTATCTCTCGAATGTCTGGGGCAGTTGATCGACTTCACGTTGGTGGGCAATTTCTCCCCCTGACCTACGCTCATGTGAGATACGAGATCTCCCAACCCCTCAACAATTTGTTGTATTGTGAACCTGTTCATATGATATTTCAAGTGCAACTCGTGTACTGTAGTGCTAGCCAGTTTCCTCTGAATCACCTGACTAATGACCCATTCTGAATCACCCTTATCATGTAAATCTCTGAAACTATTTGTCAAGCTCATAAATTCAATGCGGAACTTCTCTAGGCTTTGACGGTCATGCCGGCAAGCCTCTAGATCCAACAACCGATAAAGTATGGCCACCTTTATCTCTTCAGTGTTGCCAAACATGTCCTTTAACTGGTCTTTGGCATGTTGGTAATTAGTGTCAGTAATCTGGTAGTACCGGACTAAGTCTAGGGCTTTACCTTTGAGCTGTGATCGTAAATATTGCAATTTGACCGCATCTGACAAATCGTTTCTGTCATTTGTCTGGGCTTTAAACTGATCCCAGAAAGCAATGTACTCTGTTAGGGTTCCGTCAAATGTTGGTAAATTCAACTGGGGCAATCTGGGCAACATATTAACAGGCGTGTGGCTGCTCGTGGTACCTGCGGTGTTCGTCATCCCACTTGGCTTACTAGTCTTTAATGTGCTTAACTGACCTTTGTACGTATTCATCTCCTGGTGACAATCTACATCATCCTTAGTGAATTCATCCTGAGCTTGCCGAAGACTATCCTGGGATTCACCATCCTCAATAGTCTGTAGCTCATATGCTGAGAATGCTCGATAGTAGGCTTCCCATTTTTCCCCCAAATGCTTCAGCAGTCTTGCAAATCATCGCAGTCTACTTTACTGTGTTGGCTAGTAGCCTTGCACCTGTTGTATGTTCTGTTCAGATGCCCTTTGTATGCAGCCACTGATCGTTTTAATTTTGCTAACACTGAACGTGACTGTTGGATTCTCATCTCCCATTGTCAAGATTTAATTAGGAGTGCGACACTAATTGTACTTTACTCAGCCCACCCCACAGCACGACATGGTGTTGGGCAAGAATGAACGAGTCTCAAGGCTCCTCAACAAGCTTAACGACTCCCTTTATTATATTGACTCTACTCTGAATCAAAATGTACAGTGTTAGCTCTCAAACCCCAATCGAAATGTGTATCAATGTGAAAGCTTAACCTAGCAATTTCCTGTACGTCAATATATAATTACAGGACTTAAGGACAGACTGAGGCCCTGAATCTGCACTCTCTCGAAAGGCGTAGAATTAGTGGGGATATGATCGAGGTGTATAAATGGAAAACAAAAATAAATAATGGAGATGTAAATAGCGTGCTGAAAATTTCCAGCCAAGACAGGACTCGCAGCAATGGTTTCAAGTTGGAAAAATTCAGATTCAGGAAGGATATAGGAAAGTACTGGTTTGGTAATAGAGTTGTGGATAAGTGGAACAAACTCCCGAGTACAGTTATTGAGGCTAAAACGTTGTGTAGTTTTAAAAATAGGTTAGATAAATACATGAGTGGGTGTGGGTGGGTGTGAGTTGGACCTGACTAGCTTGTGCTACCAGGTCTGATGCCATACTCCTTCCTTAAGTGAAAGTGACCTGACTTGGTTGGTCATTGGGCTAATCCGGGGAGGGGGGCACATGGACATGCTTCGCATGGGTCAGTAGGCCTGCTGCTGTGTTCCTTGTTTCTTATGTTCTTATGTAAAGAAAATTTGTCAATATTCTCATATTTTCCAGGTAAAATACACTTAATTAATGTATTATCTATAAGTCATATGTTGTGTATACCAGCATGCTCATGCACTGCCTGTGGTGTCCTAACTCCACTCTCACTCTGCTATCTTATACCAGCATCCTCATGCACTGCCTGTGGTGTCCTAACTCCACTCTCACTCTGCTATCTTATACCAGCATCCTCATGCACTGCCTGTGGTGTCCTAACTCCACTCTCACTCTGCTATCTTATACCAGCATGCTCATGCACTGCCTGTGGTGTCCTAACTCCACTCCACTCTGCTATCTTATACCACATCCTCATGCACGCCTGTGGTGTCCAAACTCCACTCTCACTCTGCTATCTTATACCAGCTACCTCATGCACTGCCATTGGTGTCCCCAACTCCACTCTCACTCTGCTATCTTATACCAGCATGCTCATGCACTGCCTGGTGTCCTAACTCCACTCTCACTCTGCTATCTTATACCAGCATCCTCATGCACTGCCTGTGGTGTCCTAACTCCCTCTCACTCTGCTATCTTATACCAGCATCCCATGCACTGCCCGTGTTACCTAACTCCACTCTCCCCTCTGCTATCTTATACCAGCATGCTCATGCACTGCCTGTGGTGTCCTACCCACTCTCCCTGCTATCTTATACCAGCATCCTCATGCACTGCCTGTGGTGTCCTAACTCCCTCTCACTCTGCTATCTTATACCAGCACCTCATGCACTGCCTGTGGTGTCCTAACTCCACTCTCACTCTGCTATCTTATACCCAAGCATCCTCACGCACTGCCTGTGGTGTCCTAACTCCACTCTCACTCTGCTATCTTATACCAGCATGCTCAGCACTGCCTGTGGTGTCCTAACTCCACTTCACCTGCTACTTATACCAGCATGCTCATCAACTGCCGTGTGTCCTAACCCACTCTCACTCTGCTATCTTATACCAGCATCCTCATCACTGCCTGTGGGTCCTAACTCCACTCTCACTCGCTATCTTATACCAGCATCCTCATGCACTGCCTGTGTGTCCTAACTCCAAATCTCACTCTGCTATACTTATACCAGCATGCTCATGACTGCCTGTGGTGTCCTAACTCCACTCTCACTCTGCTATCTTAACCCCATCCTCATGCACTCCTGTGGTGTCCTAACTCCATCTCTCACTCTGCTATCTTATACCAGCATCCTCACGCACTGCCTGTGGTGTCCTAACTCCACTCTCACTCTGCTATCTTATACCAGCATCCTCATGCACTGCCTGTGGTGTCCTAACTCCACTCTCACTCTGCTATCTTATACCAGCATCCTCATGCACTGCCTGTGGTGTCCTAACTAGACTCTCACTCTGCTATCTTATACCAGCATCCTCATGCACTGCCTGTGGTGTCCCAACTCCACTCTCACTCTGCTATCTTATACCAGCATCCTCATGCACTGCCTGTGGTGTACTAACTCCACTCTCACTCTGCTATCTTATACCAGCATCCTCATGCACTGCCTGTGGTGTCCCAACTCCACTCTCACTCTGCTATCTTATACCAGCATCCTCATGCACTGCCTGTGGTGTCCTAACTCCACTCTCACTCTGCTATCTTATACCAGCATGCTAATGCACTGCCTGTGGTGTCCTAACTCCACTCTCACTCTGCTATCTTATACCAGCATGCTAATGCACTGCCTGTGGTGTCCTAACTCCACTCTCACTCTGCTATCTTATACCAGCATGCTAATGCACTGCCTGTGGTGTCCTAACTCCACTCTCACTCTGCTATCTTATACCTGCTGTAAGAGATTGTAATTTTCATTTCAGCCTCTCACAAGAAATGTACGAAAAATGTTGATAATGGTATAAAACACCGACAACTTGATGATTAAGACACATGTGCAACAGTTGGGTATCTTTCTTGATTAAACGTTTCGCCTAAGCAGTAGGCTTCTTTAGTCAAATATAGAGTATAATGTATTGTGGGTAACGGGAGTAGTGAAGCTCAAATTCACAGTATAATGTATTGTAGGCAACCTACAATACAGATACCCAATATGATACCCAACTATTGCAGATGTGTCTTATTATCAGGCTGAAAATTTGCCTGACACATCAATAATCTGTTGCACTTAATTGTCAAGTTACGAATGCAAAACCAAGTCTACTATTCTTAACAGTGATAAGAGAATAAACCATACCACTGGCGGGATTTGAACCCGCGGTCAGAGAGTCTCAAAACTCCAGACAGTTAGCCACTGGACTAGCTAGCCACAATAAGATTCGTCCAACTAGGTATATTTCTACACCATAGGAAGGTTAGCATAGGCACCACTGTGACCACAAATGCAGGTTTTTACAGACGAATCTCCAGCTAGCGTGGCCGTGGCGAACCGTGGCTAGCTGGTCCAGTGGCTAACGCGACGGTCTGGAGTTTTGAGACTCTGTCCGCGGGTTCAAATCCCGCCCGTGGTATGGTTTGTTTGCAATCGTGTCATTACGATTTCGTTAGTCATAAGAGAATAAATACTCTGTCAGTTGTCCAAGATTTAAAAATAATACAGCTGAAATGGATTTTTCTTGGGGAAACAATCTCTACCTCTGCCAGATCAATCAGGCTGTGATGGATATGTGGGACAGCAGGCTATCAGTAAAAGACGAGTTAAAAGGGTAATTGACAGGTGATCCTGAAGTTGGAAAATTCTTGAAACTGTACTCATCTGTACTCTAAATTGCAATGTTATCAGTTTGACTTGTTTTTTTTTTTTGCAGATGAAGTTTGCAAGACTTTGTGTGTTGGTGGTGACTCTGGTAGGAGGTGTAATGGGGAAGTTGTCTCCACCTGAGAGGTCATACAAGATCCTGATGCTCCTGCCAGTCTCCTCCAAGAGTCACAGGAACGTCTTCATGCCTCTGGCAGAGGCTCTGGCCGACCGTGGACACAAGGTAAGACCTCGGTGATCAGAGTCTTGGGGTGTTAATTAATTTAAATAAACGGGAAAATGATTATTATTATTGGGAATAACAACAAAAAAAATACCGTGACTCAAACAATACACAAATTACCCGCACATAGAAGAGAGGAGCTTACGACGACGTTGCGGTCCGACTTGGACCATTTACAAAGTCACACTGAATCTTCGTCGTAAGGTCCTCTCTTCTATGTGCTGGTTATTTGTGTATTATTGGGAAAATATTAAGTGCAGGAAGATTGTCTAATAATGTGTACATTGAAAGAAATGGTTTAGAAAACAGACACGTTAAAGAATGGGACACTTGTCAAACATTTGGGAATCGTTATTGAGGATATGTTTCCACAATAAAGATTCCCAATTTAGCACAATTGTCGCATTTTTCAAAGGGCACATTTCATGTGCAATAATAAATATTATAGTGAATCTACTGAGCGGAATATATCTTTCCCTCTAGTCAAAATTGCCTCACCTTTGCTCTAACAACGGTCCTACATTCTCTCTTCAGATAGTAATGTTGACCAACCACCCGAAATCGTCCAAGAATCCTAATATTCACGAGGTTACCCACGGCCTCCCACATTACACGGAGGACAAAATAAACATGTTTGACACTCGTAAGGACCCAGGTGGTATTTTCCAAATGTTTTTGAATTCTCTGCCACTAATTGCTAGGGAATTGTACCAAGTACCTGTGGTGAAGGATCTGTACCAGAAGAGGAAGGACTTTGATGTTATAGTGATTGACCAAACCTTCAACGAGGTAAGTGTTCTTGTTAAGTAAAAAGGACACGACTGTAACTAATGTGACATTTTATTGTGGCAATGTTTCACTCTCCAGGAGCTTTGTCAAGGGTATATATAAGCTTTTAGTGAGGTGTAGTACAGATAGAGATAGTAGTAGTAGCCATACATGTGGTGGAAAAGTCAGCTGGTACATAAGAAAGCAATGTTTCAAAAGGTATGGTTTGGGAAGCATAAAAAAATTGGTTGGGCAAATGTATATTGATGGATTTGAGAAGGCATGTTTCAGTGTCCCTCCTCTATTACATAAGAACAGAAGAAACGAGGAAGACTGCAGCAAGCCTGTTGGCCTAAACTGGACCTGTCCTTTGATGTAGTAGCAGTTATGGGATAGCAGGGTTTACTGTGTTCAGTAGGATTCTCGCTAGTTGGGCGTCACTGAATTTCATGAGATGATTGGCAGAGTTTCGGTGTTGTACGCAGGCGTTGTTCAAGTTATTGTTCCTGAATGCATTCATGTGTTCACTGAGGCGTGTTTCGAGGCTTCCTGTCACAGCCTCCACAGGGTATAGTGTAAACTCCAACATTGACTGGTTTATGGAGCTTCGATTTTGTCCTGGTTAGATAGTTTATTGAAGTGCTGGGTGCGATGCCAGTACTTTACAAATGTTCAATGCAACCTGGCTGATCGGAAGAATTATAACTTTGTTAGGAGTGGTGTTGGTGCATAGAGAATTAGAGATCTGAAGAGCTCTTTTCTTGCAGTCTATGATGAAAAAGGAAGGAAAATGTAAATCGGTATGATCTTGGAAAAATCCGATGATGATGCCTCTTTTGGTCTTAGAATCTTGACTGGAATAAATGTGTGTGAGATTATTTTTGTTTGTAGGTTTCCGGTAAATCTGAAATCATAGATTGTTATCTACCTTGTAATGTGTCATCGGATTATTCTTCTAGTGTAAACTTAATAGCCGGTTCAACTGCGTTGAGCCTTGCCTAAAGATTTTGCACTTCAAATCGTTTGGGAGTTATTATGAGAACATCGTCCATGTAATGTAACCAAGTGAAGCTAGAGGAGATGATGTTGGCGACGTGTTCACCCTCTAGGTGTTCCATGTACAAGTTGGCTAAGACAGCGGTGTTGGGGGACGCCATTTCCATACCATAGATTTGTCTGTAGAGCCTGTTATTGAAAGAAAAGGAATTGAAATTAAGGCAGAGTTCAATCAAGTCAGCAAAGTCTCCGGGAGGTAGAGGAAGATTTATGTCCCGATTGACTTTACGTCGTAGAACGTCAATGGCTTGTGTGGTGGGTACATTAGTGAACAGCTAAGTCACGTCCAAACTACTTAGTTACTTGTTTCGGATGGAGAGGTCTCTGATGCGGTTGAGAAGGTCGCCTGAATGCTTAAGATGAGCGGGGCTGTTGGTCCCCAGAAGGCAGGAAAAATGTTTGGCAAGATCTCCAGCTAGTTTGTGTGGTGCACTGTCTATACCTGATGTGATCGGTCTGAGAGGATTGTTATGTTTATGGGTTTTAGGTAAACCATACATGTGTGCTGGTTTAGGGTTGCTGGGTATCAAGTATAGAAGTTTCTTCCCTTCACTAGTGTATTTCAGTATTTGTTTGGTTTTATATAGGAAATCTTTGGAGAGTGTCTCTCACTGTTGTGAGTTGATGGATTCGTATATGGACTGGTGATTCAAAAAGTCCATCATTTTGGTGTTGTGTTCACTGGTGTTAAGTATGACGACTCCACCTCCTTTGTCGGCGGTGGTGACGATAACATTTGGGTCATTAGCAAAGTCATTAAGAGCACTGATATACAGCCTAGGAAGATTAATAGAAGAAACCTCACATAAAGCTGCGGTGAGAATGCCCATTATATAACCCTTCTGGAAGTTACTGTTATTGTGTCTGTGGTTTCTGGTGAACAAGTTCAGTTGATGGTTTGGTTTGCGTAAATTAGTGGTAAATTTGAGACCCAGGCTGAGCGCTTGTTTCTCGTAGTCAGTTAAGGTCCGTGATGATAGGTTGTTCATCAAGGATTCTCTTCCCATTTCCTTCCGTCGACTGCTAGTGCAGAGGTACTGAAGTTTGCGATTGAGTTTAATCTTCTGTTTGAGGTTGGCTGTGGTGACTGTGCTGAGAATATGTTCAGCAGTGTGGTGGTCAATCTGAAGATTGGCTTTCATATTCCTTGCAGTTTCAAAGGTTTCCTTAGCGATGTTAGAAAGCTATTCGGCATATTCATTTAAATAAGATTGGGTAGCTGGGGAGAAATGGTGTTTGGAGTTGTAGAGTTGCATAGGAGTGGACTTAGGGATCACCTCGGCCAGGCAATCTTGTAGGAAGTTGTGTCTGTTGCGATAGCTGTGAGCATAACAAAACATAACTCTCAGACCGATCACATCAGGTATAGGCGGTGCACCACACAAACTAGCCAGAGTTCTTTCCAAGTGCCTTTTCTGTCTTTCATGCCTTCTACAGACCATCATCCCCGCTCATCTTAAACATTTAGGCGACCTCAACCGTATCACAGACCTCTCCATCCGAAACAAGAAAATAAGTAGTTTGGACATGACTTATCGCTTCACTAAAGTACCCACCACACAAGCCATTGACGTTCTATGACGTAAAGTCAATCAGGAGGGCGTGCCCGGTAAAGGGTAACTCCCAAACGTTCTGATGTGTGGAATCTTCAGGCTCATCGTAGTTGAATTGGCTACCAGTTTACACTAGAAGAAGAGTCCAATAACAAGCTTCCTTATTTAGACGTTCTCATTCAAAAGGTAGATAACAATCTAAGATTTCAAGTTTACCAGAAACCTACACATAAAAATGATCTCACACATTTATATTCCAGTCAAGATTCTAAGACCAAAAGAGGCATCATCATCGGATTTTTCCAAGAGCATACCGAATTTGTAGACCTGAGTTTCTTGACGAAGAATATACATACATTCACCAAACCTTCACTGATTTACATTTTCCTTCTTTTCCCATCAAAGACTACAAGAAAAGAGCTCTTCAGATCATTAATTCTCCACGCACCAACACCAATCCAAACAAAGTTATAATATTTCCAAACAACCAGGTTGCACTGAACATTTGTAAAGTACTAGTACACGCTAACACCAGAGCCACCATCGCATCCAGCACTTCAGTAAAGGATCTAAGCAGGACAAAATCGAATCACCATGAACCAGTCAATGCAGGAGTTTACACTATACCCTGTGGAGGCTGTGACCGGATTTATGTAGGTGAAACAGCAAGAAACTTCGAAACAAGAGGATTCGTAGTAGTCCTCCTGTTTCGAGTCCTCAGGTCAAGAAGGGATCGTGGTCAGTGGCTGGACAGCAGGGGACGACGAAGTTGACGATCAAGAAGACGAATGGAAAGCCAGAAACGATGAAGAAGAAGGAGACTGCTGTGGAAACTCCTGTGGAAACCTCCAACGCCCTCCAACGCATTCTCGGTGCTACCCGACGAATGTGAGTCGACTACTGGGATCGTCACGACGAACGACAACAAGGAAGGTAAGAATATTGTTGTTGTTGGGGATAGCCAGGTTAGATACATGGATAGGGCATTCTGCTTGAAGGACAGGAGTAGGAGACAAAGGGTATGCTTTCCTGGGGCTGGGATGGAGGACATTGTTAGCCGGCTTGGCAACATCATGAACGGTAATGGGATCAATCCTATTATTTGCCTCAGTGCTGGAGGCAATGATGTAGGCAAGCTTTAGAAGTGAGGATTTAGTTAGAAAGTTCAGGACAGCTATAGACATAATTAGGAGAAGGGGGGGCGCCCCTGTTATATGTGGCATTTTGCCAAGAAGAGGTTTGGTAATAAATGGTTGTCCAAAGCAATTGGTATTAATTGTTGGCTGGATAAACCTGTAAGGATAATGCGTACCATTCATTGACAACGGGGAAACAACTTCTATGGCCGAAATGACATGTATGCCAGGGATGGGGTTCACTTATCCAGGGCAGGTGTGGGTTTTCTTGCTAACTCAGTTGAGGGGGTTGTTAGGACTTTAAACTAGGATTAGTTAGAGGTATGGGTTTAGAAATGATTAAAAAATGAGTATGGGTATATTGAACTTATGCTCTGATATTTAAGAATCTTAATAGTTAACTGTCATGGAGTTAACTTGGGTAATGAATATTTCAGAAATTGGTGTAAAAACAAAGATGAATAGAAAAAATGTGCAGAAGAAAAAACATATGATGTATTTTTTTGCTAAACAGTCGAAGTGAAAGAAAATAAAATTAATGAACTACGTTTGGTAGCATGTGCTGGGAACTTTGATGTCATTGCATTAACTGAAACGTGGTATGATTTAAAGAGTCGGGATAGACTGCTGAGTGTAATACTCAGGGATTTAAGTTGTTCAATGTGGATAGATGTAATGGAAGGGGGGGGAGTTGCATTGTATGTTCGAGAAAATATTAATTGTTGCATAAAAACAGGTATAAAAATAGATGGAGCAGTAACAGAGTCTGTTTGGGTATAGTTCGTGGAAAGTCAAGAAAAACTAATTTGGGTTTGTAATATACCGACCTCCAGGCTTGGATCACGATAGAGGAAGACTCTTTGGACGAAATTGTTAGGGCTTCTGGACACAGTAACATAGTCATAGTAGGGGACTTTAACTTTAGTCAAATTGACTGGAATTCTTTACAGGTAATCTAGAGTCCAGTGACTTTATGGAAACAGTTCAGGACTGTTTTCTGAAACAGAGCGTAACTGAGCCTACCAGGGGTAATAATTTGCTAGACCTAGTCTTGTCAAATAAGGAAACACTCGTGAATAATCTGGAGATCACTGAAGAGCTTGGCGCAAGTGATCACAAATCCATCACTTTTAGCATTAATTGGGGAAAGCAAGAATAATGATAATACAGTAAAAATCCCTGATTTTCGTTCTGCCGATTATAATGGACTTAGGGAACATCTGTCTAATCTGATTGGGTTACTAGCTAATGATTTTATTGACGATAATCATACTTATGAATATGAAGGGATCTGCTTTTATGATTGTTTTCTTAATAATGTACACAGTG